ATGTCGAGAGACATCCATCAAGAAAATTACTTAATCCCAACTTGTAAGTAATATCAGTAAATATTGTCTCAAAATTGTCCAAAATTGTTGTTTCAATGTCTTTTGTAATTGCAGACAATTTTACCATGGCATGACCTCAAATACACAATGTAATTTAGAATAGAATAGAATAGAATAGAATAGAATAGAATTCAAATAAACAACTAGTCACACAGAAAATATAGCACAACAATACATATGATAACTCACATTCATTTATTTGTTGAAATTATGCCTAATTTCCCAAAATAAAGACATTTAAGAATTTTTTCATCAGTAAAGCTTTCTCAAATGGTGTCAAAATAAAGTCATCATGGCATTAATTTTCACAAAGTATGAGTTATAAAAATATAAAATGTCAAAGGTCAATAGATGATTCAAAGACAATTTGGAAGCCTAGAAACTGCATAGTCACAGGCCAATTATTTCAAACATATTTTCATAAAACACTTTTCAAATTAGCTTTATTATAAGTCGAGGAAGTTAAATGCACATCTTGCACATGCAATATTTTTCTTGATCTATAACAGTATTTCTTGTACTTTTTTTAAGAAATGTATCTTTAATTTTGCAGCTCCTGTAAAAGTGAGCCCCTGCTTTAAAAGGGTAGCAACAAATAAATAAATAAATAAATATGCTCAGCCCAAAACACCTCTAGAAATGTAAATATTGTACACAAGTAAAGATTGAAAATGAACAACATTTCTTCATGGAATATACAAAATATAGAAAACACAAACGAAAAAGTAAAAAAAAGAAAAAAAGAGCAGAAATTATTTATCTAATATAATGAGTACAACTGAAGAGAACATGGTTATATAGATTGGAGAATATTACAAATACAATTTTTTTATTAGTTGAGAGTGAGCTGACTTCTGTTTGTGTACATGCAAATTGAACATGCATTGCTGTGGTGGTTTGATTATAATGTGCATCATCAATGCATTCCCCTCAGGTGTTCAGCACAGTACATGTAGGCTAACTTGCAAGGTTTCACTCATTTAGCATCATCATTACAACGTTGTTACTATGTTAATAGTTTCAAGATCCATCAATTTCATTTGAATTTGTCCTAGATATGTAATAGATTTAAAACATGGTGCTTACAAGTGGACTATTAAGAAGAGATATCATCATTTCAGACAACTCCATGAACAACTACTCCTATTCAAAGCAGCTATGAAGATTCCAGTCCCAACCAAAAGGTACAATTAGAATAACATAATTTATTCAATGTCCTTGTTTGTATTTTATAATATTTATTCTTCTGTCAAATTCAATAAATATTAAATAAGTGTTTGATAATAGTTATTTACAGCAGCTAATGATACGATTCCAGAATGCAGTATAATACCTTGTTTGAAATGTATCAGAGAAATTAACATTGTCATCTGCACACTCAACACACTAATAAAAAAAGAGTATTTTCTGCCCACTTGCCGGGCATGTGGCATTCAGGGTTGGAGGTGGTACTGTTTTTTCTCAGTGCACATAAGCAAAATCAAGTATCCTTATTGAAATTGAAGTGAGTAGCAGATGATAAATACTAGAATTGCTTTCACACATCACTGATAGAAAAATGTTTGGTTTCACTAAGGGACAACGTCAGAAGATTGATGTCGGATAAAAAACTTATTTGCTTTAGTTTGGCGGTGGGGTTTTGACCTCAAAAAGTTTCCATCCTTCAAAAACGATTTTATTTTTTAAGTCAAAAAATTCTTGGAGTATTTGTAGTTCGTTTTTTTTGAAAATGATAAAACACAAACATCCAAGACGAGAAAATTGTTTGGTCCGAGTGTAAATATGTGCATCAAATGAGGTAAAAATAAAGCTCGTTTTTCCTTGTTATTGGTGCATTTGTAAAGTCTTTTTACACCGGCCACCCGACAATCAACTGCTATGCCATACTATTGGTCGATTATCAATTTGCATTTAATGAATGTAGTCTGACGCCATGATCAATTAAGTTTCAGATCCTACATTAAACTTTTGATGTTGTCCTTAAGACATAATTCATAAACAGTTTTTATATGCAGGAAACTTTTCAGTTTTCATATTGGTGAGCATTTTTTAGTTGCATTGCTGTAGTGTATGTGGTCTGATACTTCATAAAGCACTTAACCCGTCTAGTTCTAATTTTCTGATAATGTCTTCTACAAAAAATGTTGTGATAGATTGAAAGAAAGAAGAAGAAGCTACAGAGTTAACAGTAATAAAACCAGAACCCTTCCTCACCTACCCAAAGGAATAGATGCCTTAGTAGCAGCACCACAGTTAGCAAGGAGAATGGTGAGTGTATTTGTTACAAGTTTTCTCCCAGTACATCAATGTAAATGCCACAAACATAGCAAACTATTGCACCTTCTATAGTTTAGATAACATCACATTTTTTATTTGCATTTTAGTTGTTGAGATATTCCTTTTCCTTGGGTGTTTAAATAAATCTGGTATTATTTCTGTTAATGCAGAACTGTGGATCACATTATTAAATTATATATTTGTCTAGAATATACATATACAACTGCATATTATGTAGTCAAGTCTAGTTAGCCCCTATCAAAGTTCAAAGAAGGCTTATGATTTGAGTAAAATTTTTCAGTCCGTCCATTGCAATCTCAAATCTCTGGCATACACAGACCAATTTCATTAAAATTTGTTTACATAAACATTACTAGTATATTACGAGTGACAGATGCTCATGCAAATTTATTTAGATTCGTATGTGTTAAGTGGGTGTTTTGGGCAATTTTTTTTTATTTTGGGTCAAAATTAATGTATGTGTTGTGGGGTATTTGGACATTGAGACATTGAGATATCTACTGTTGGTAGGATGGTCGTGCTGACAGATGATTTGCACATATCTTAACCACAAACACATTTACTGTTTCAGGTTCAACTTGAAAAATATTTACAAAATTTACTGAGGAATCCTATTTACAGAACGAACAAACACACTGTGAGTATTTAAAATATGTGCCCTCTATAGTTCAGTTCATAGATACTTTTGTTTTTATCAACTTGTTTTATAATTTGAATTAAGCAACATGTAACACGGTTATAGTTTCAGAACACAGTTATGGTTGCTGATGGTTTTCAATAATCAGAGGTATTGTAGTCAGTATCTAGTAAGAGAAGTTTGGTTGTGAAAATTAAAATAAGTAATACTTATTTTAGTTAGTATTTTAAAGCAGCGCAATTGTGTTTACAACATATAAATTGGGCTCTGCACTTCTTGTGGTTTAAAGATGTCCTTTTTTTATATTTACCCAAATTACTGTGAATATTAAATTGTTAGTTAAACATGTGTGTTTCAATCTATGTCATCATGTTTTCTTCTCAGATTGAATTTCTTGAACTGTCCCACTTGTCATTTGTAGAAGAGCTTGGTATGAAAGGAAAGTAAGTTGAAATGTTGTATTGATGCAAATCATTTTGTGATAATACAATGTTCTGACAACATTTTCAAGCGAGTGATTCCTGTCATCTCTACATCATCTTTCAGCAATAAATAATAAACCACCTGTTTTTAATAACTGACACTTATATTATAAAGATTCCCAATACACTATTGCTGAAAAGTTCACGTCTAGAATGAGAATATGACACTTTCTCACATTTCAATGAAAATTTATTCGTCTTTGCTTCATTGACAAAAATGTAAAATGAAGGAATTACTATATTATAATTTAGGCAGCTAGAATTTATATTCACATCAATGATACAATATTTTACCAATTATGATAAATGAGGGATTATTGATATTTGATAGGGAAAGCCTTGTAAAGAAAAGATCTGGTGGCCATCGTATACCACTAGGTTGTTGTACAAGATGCTGTGGTGGTTGTTATTGTGAGTGGGCTGGTCATTGGAGTAAAAGGTAAGTGAAACCTCAAGTGAAAATATGACAACTAGGATGAACCAATTTGTATCCTAAATTACAATCATCTCAATCCAGTCACGATAACATTATTTATTTATTTATTTATTTATTTATTGCTTCCCTTTTGTAACAGGGACTCACTACATGTATGTAAATTAGGAGCTGCACCAAATAAATAATACATTTCACTCAAAGACTAATGAAAAAACTTTTGATAGACAAAATAGAAACTAAGTTACATGAACTAAAATAACAAAAAAAACAACAACAACTTGTTGCATGATTTGATTGCACTTTGATTGCTGTAAATATTGTAATGTTTACCATGCACTTTTATTTCATGCTGAACATCACAACTGTGAAGGCAGTGTTTTGATATCAGGGTGTGGACCTTTCAAATTTCACCAGCCTTGTTAGAGTTACTAACCCTGCATCAACCCTTTGAGTGCAAATTTTTATCTCTGCATAAATTAGCGTAATTTTTTTTTAATTCAATCTTAATTAACCAAACGAATAAACTGACATTGCTTCTAGTTTTTGATCCAGGTGGTAATTTCCAACACTGGTGGAGGATATATGCAGCATGTTCTTGTGGTGTAAATTATTAGACACTTCAAAGCATTGTGTTTTTATACATGGTTGTTAAGTATTGTGTAGTATGATATATTGTGCTTTTATACATTCCCATAGGTGGTTGATGACAAAGGATAGTTTTATTGAATATATCAAACCAAGAGATATATCCAAGTATTGTGTAGTATGATATATTGTGCTTTTATACATTCCCATAGGTGGTTGATAACAAAGGATAGTTTTATTGGATATATCAAACCAAGAGATATATCCAAGTATTGTGTAGTATGATATATTGTGCTTTTATACATTCCCATAGGTGGTTGATAACAAAGGATAGTTTTATTGGATATATCAAACCAAGAGATATATCCAAGTATTGTGTAGTATGATATATTGTGCTTTTATACATTCCCATAGGTGGTTGATAACAAAGGATAGTTTTATTGGATATATCAAACCAAGAGATATATCCAAGTATTGTGTAGTATGATATATTGTGCTTTTATACATTCCCATAGGTGGTTGATAACAAAGGATAGTTTTATTGGATATATCAAACCAAGAGATGGTAGGATGGGTGGATTATTATTAATGGATGAAGTGTTCTCTGCTAAAAGTGGCCTGCTAGATACTGGTGTACATCA